TTACACTCGTACATTCTTATTATTATTAAAGCCATAAAAATTATATAAAATAATCATCGGAATATATTTATAATTTTATATTTAATAATTAATTTTGAACATTAATATATTTAGATATTTTTCTATTTCAATATTTTCTATCATATTTTCTACTTTGATAACTGTTCAATGCGGAGAATATACACAGAATCATTATAAATAAAAAAATTCGCAATAATTTTGTTGCGTGTATAATAAACACTTACCGTTCACTCTCATCGGCAGCTTGCGATGCCTCCGCCAGTTTGGCAGTGGCAGTGGCAAGACGCTCCTCGGATCTCTCAAGGTCCTCCTCCAACAATTGAATACGACGATTCAAAGCGGCGACTTCAGATTCGGCCTGTAACATAGAAGCAAATCCATTCCAGGTAAAATGAAAGCAAAAAAATTTGCAATTCTTAATCTTACATAATTTTAGCAGAATCATATTGCTGATCAATAATATGAGATAATGAAGAATTATTGCAATGTAAGATACATTAATAATTGAAAAAAAAAAAATAGAAACAAAAGATATAATTTAATCTAAAAAGAAAAGATCGAAATCTAAATGTATATATATATATATATTAACAAACTTTATTAAATTAGAAACAAAAAAACATACTATAATTTGACGATTTACTAAATGTTGTTATTTATATAATTTAGTTACACTTGAATTATTTAATAAATGATACAATCCATTATTGTATATATGAAAAAATAACAGCTGTTAAATTTGGAATTGAGGAGGATTTAATAAAATTATGCGAAGTAACGTAAGATCGAATGGCTGATCCGCTGTTATTGTCTGTAGTCTGTCGGCACGACGTTGCAATCAGGCGCATGTTGATGCTGGATTAGGAATGATCCGAATCCAATCCAATGCCGTTTCATGCCGAGCATGATTAGAGCTTGTCGCAACAAAGCACTAAAATGGAGATCGTAAAGATCTCTGCGTGCATACCGATGACTCCGAGGCAATCTCGTATGTTGCATTAAGCGTTGAATCGAACGGATCATCATCGTTATCGATTTCGACAAACATTTGACCCGTAAATCATGTTGCCTCATCGCTCATCGAATGATGTCAGAGTATCATGCGCAATAAACGTTTCTAAATTTCAGATTAGTGATTTACGAGCATTAATTTCGAACATTATCGATGTAATCGATAACGTTCCTGAAGTTGTAGCAATATCTCAAGCATCATAATTAAATTAGCTACAAATTATGAACAGAATACTTCCCTCAAATGTAATTAGCAAAAATTGAATTTTTATCAGGATAGTTAAATGTTAATTTTAATATAATAGATTATTGTTTTTATTCTTATAAAGAGAAAAAAGGCAATTATATTTATTACTAATAAAATGATATGATGATTTATTAAGAAAAAATTAATATACCTTAATTAATCTTATCTTAGCTTAAAGGAACTACTAATTTCAGTCATAATTTTTCAGTCATAAAAAATAATAATTTGTAACTTTATTGATGGAATTGTATGAAGCTAAGCGAAGCATGCGATTTTTACGAATGTAAATTATTTAACGGTCGATTACACATATATCCGCGTACACAATTCGAGGCCCTTGTCCTCATTAGCTGCACCTGCCTACGATTGTACTTCTAGTAAATGACCATAATTCATCCCGTGACGCAGGGAACGTTTTACAAACTTACTTTATTAGTGATGCGTGAATTTGAATTTCGGCACACCTATGTCAGTTTTATGGGGAGGCGATGTCAGTGGACTGACAGCAATGATATCACACATACCGCGTTACCACATTATTCTATTATCGCTAATATTGCTGTCACCATAATTACCCATCTTTTTATTAATTGTTTTTATTAACAAAAAATAGTGATTATTCAGATTACGTCATAATATATATTATCGAGGAAAGGCAGTATCGAGGAAATATAAAACGGCTCCTAGACGCTCAATATTATTGTACAATGTATAAAAATTATTTTATGCAAATTATCGGTGTCTTCTTTAAACAATTCAAAATAAAGTCTAAAGGCTCAATCAAATTTCCAGACAAGTAACATAAAATATTGTACAATAATAAAAAATCGAGATTAGGGCCGCTTAAAAGATGTATAGTTACAAAATGAAATAAAAAAAAATATACATATATATATATAAAATCATGTTTTAAATAAATATAAAATCTATATATATAATATTAAATTGTTTTTATTTATAAAATTGCTTAATATTTTGAAATGACTTCGCGGAAATCATGTAACATTGCGTGCACAAAACATTTATATTTGTTTCACAATTTTGCTTCTGCAACTTCGTTCGAACTTCCGCAACAAATTAATGCGAGTTCAATGATTTTGAATCGCGTCGCCACGCTGTTCCACGATGATGCGTGCACGTTCAGTGGTGCGTACACGTAAAGTTACACACGCTTTTACATTACCTTACTGACACGAACCTTGTATTCGTAGGAAATCGGCACGCCCACTCGCACTTGTGCCGAGTGGACAGGTCGTGTCACATCGACGATATCCACGGCAAGTGTTGGTAAGTGTGCCAAACTTCCGCTTCGTCCGACCCTTTCTCGTAGCCTTCCAACACGATTCATTTAATTCATCCTGCAGTCAGACCGACGTCGGTAGCGATTACAGGGATCGATGATAATTTAATAAACTGATATATTTTCAGCTTGAATCGGAATATATAGGCATTGATATGTTATCAATACGAAGGTGAGATTTTAAAGGGAAATCATTTTGTTTGTAACAAAATAATGGAATTTATTTGATAAATAGAAGAATATCTATGGAATATACTGCCTTTGCGAGAACTTTATTGGAATGTGTAGATATACAAGTTATAGATGTAAAGGAAAGTATTTTATTTTTTTGCTCTAGGAATAATTTTACGTTTACACACTTATGAATTCTATTGAATAAGATAAGATCTTAACATAAAATCATCATTAAGAATTATTCCATATTTGCCTTTTTGAAGTGCAAACGTAATCAAGTGAATCTTTCCTGAATCGAAAAGAACCGCGGTTGTATTGTTTTGTATCGCTCCTATGCTATCATGACATACGTGCTATCAAGACGGCCATTCGTTTGTAAATAAATTCGCTCAAGGCGAATGGAAGACATCGACATTTTGTTATGTAAACTTCTTAGCAATAAAGACACGGTTATTCCTAATCTCCCGAGATGGCCGAGATATCATTTTCGCGTCTATCGATCGGCCTATTGATGCGCGAACAAATCAATAAGATTTGCCTTACATCACATCCTTCCTCTATCTGAGTGATAAGCCTGTTGAATCAACTTGCGAAACGGTTCTCGCTCATCGGAATCGAGAAGAGGGAGGAAAAAAAACAGAAAAATCGCGGTGTAGCGGCAATGCACTTCGTTACTTCATGACAAAAGCGTATTAGTGCGGCCTGATCGAGTCCGTCGCAGTTGGCCTTTAAAACGTATTGCGCGCATCAGGTGCACTCTGTCGCGAATGTGCATTGGAGTCTTGTGAATTTTCATCACTGCGCCGGAAAATGTAGCATTATATCATCCCAAACGGAAATGTAGTTTTGCAGCTCAGAAGGATTGCAAAAAATTAGTTATGTTACATATATCAGATGTAATTTTATCTTCTTCTAAATTTTTTTTGCAAATTTTCTCTAAACATTCTCTCTAAAATTTTGAAAAAAAGATGAATTAGAGGATTATAAAAAACGTAAGCTGAAAGGCAAAATTGTTAACTTCTTGGCCAATCCATAAAATGTAATAAAATATAACGAGTTATCTGAATCTTATGCAATTAATAAATCTGTAATAATGAAATACTTGAGTTTCGTTCGTGTTTCCAATTACGATACTAATGCCTGCCATTGCACTTTGTACGACAGGATATTGAAACGGTTGGGAGGCTTCTTTGATACGGTCTGACAGCAAAACAAATGTATCTACATTCTACACGCAACAGAAACGATATATCCGGTCAAATTTCCATGCAAATATTTGTAAAAGTTACTTTTAACGCTACACAAACAATATTTCAACCAAAAATTAAAATATTGATAGTATAATAGAAGAAAAGATATAACTAAGATATTCAATATTTCTATTTCAAACTGATATTATATACTACATGTAATGTCCATGAAACATTTTAATATTTTGTGAAATAATATTTGCTCAAGTAAAATATATTGCAACAAGCAATCGATAAATATTAACGAAATAAAAATGTTTGTTAATTCTCAAAAAAAGATATCTTCTATAAATTAATTAAAAACCGATTTTAAATAAGTTATAATACTGATTTAAGGCAAAAGCGTAATACTTTGATTTTATGAATTACTTTATATTTTCATGATTCACTGCATTTCACGGTAGAGCACTTAATTTACATATAACTGTATGTCATTGTACCCAAACGACAATTACACAACTTTGAACTTTTGGTCGTTTAACTCATTACGTTATAATTTCAGAATGTTCACAATCAACCGGGAAAAGACTCCGTTTAAATGTTAAATAATACTTAATACAAGAAAAAAATATTTAATACAAGAATTCTTTCGTGTTTATAAAATAGCAATTGTTCAAATTTACAAATTATATCAATCAAAAGACAATTTAAAACGTCTTTCACTTACATTCTTCGATTGTCAAAAATCTCTAATAAGAGTAGCTGAAAAACGGTTTCGTACGTTTCCTAATTTAAATATTTCAATCACGCGAACCCTAGTATCCCAATTTTATTTCGACTTGTCACACTTGTTGTCAAGAGCAATTTTCCAGCGGATCTCCAATCGACTTTGACACTCGAGTAGTGCACCTTAGCGAAGAATGTGCGTTACGTCGTTTGTCAGCGAAAAAGGAGTGAGAAACGGTCAAGATTGTGATGTAAATCCGCTAAATCGAGGCTGATGAACGCTCACCAAGAGGCTTGTCTCACTTGTGCACAATTTGCTATACGTAGCTATATTTTACATAGCGTGCCTGTAAATAGGCAAAGTGATTTAATATGCTGCTATAACTTTCAAGTCCTATCCGTAATGATCTCATCATCTCGCGAAAAATTCTGGACGTCGAAATAATCATATCTATGATATAACTACACATTGCAAAATATTGGATTGTCCGGAAAGTTCGTGCCAATGTTGAAGGAAAATTGAAACGTAGAAAATTAAAATTTTAGTATACATTTATTAAATTATATAGGTTAGTCGGCACGAACTTTCCGGACAATCCAATATATATATATATATATATATATATATATCTGTGTAAAATTATTGGGTTGCACATAATTTGCCATTTGTAAAAAAATTTTTAAGATAATAATTCTTATCTAAATTTTAA